ACAGGCCAGGCCAGGGGCCGGGGGAGAAGAGCCGCCCGCGACGAGACTACGGACCCTGCGGCGACGACCTGAGCGGGGTTGCTAGCCGAACCCAGCACGCAGCGGTGGTGGGGATGGAACTCCAAGCGTGCCCGCCTCCTGGCGGCGCGCGTTGCCTTGCCCGCGTCGTGCCCCAACTCGAAACATTTGAGAGGGCCGTTCGCGTTTGCGACGCTTGGGCGCGGTATCGCTTGCCCCAGGCCGACGGGCCGCATGCCCACAGGAACTGGGCCGTGGGATTGCACGCCCAGGTTCCCGTCAGGCCAGCGGTCAGATCGATGCAGGGGCGCTCCAGGTAGTCGTGGAGGCTGCGCGCATGGACGATTTAAGTGTTCATTGAGACACATTTGGTCATGCGGGGCCCAGATTTCGCTCGATGAGATTCGGGCGGATATTTGGATCACGGGCCGTGATGAAGCACCCCCGCTTCTTCGCCGATGCCGCTTGGCGACGTGGACCCTGCTACGACATGTCGCGTGTCGCGTCGGGCGCCCGCGCCGAGATGCAAGGGCACATTGCTTTCAAACGCCACGTTGCGAGGGGTCACTTGCGGGCGAGGCAGGCAGAGCTGCGGGCGTCCGGCGCGAAGAGGAAATTGAATTCTTCCGAGAAGAGTGGCAAAGCGCAACACGAGCAGGGACGATAAACTGACGCAGTTGATATTGCGGGGAATGCGAAGAAGCAGCGTGAACCAGAAGACGGGCCCCAACGATAAACAGGACATCGGGAGGGGTCTGTCCAGGCGGTCGTCTAAGGGGTTGTCCAGGGGTTTGTTCAGGGGTTGTCCAGCCTCAACTCCCACCTCCCCCTCATCCTCTTCTTCCTTCGGGTGATGTTCCTCATCCTCTTCGCGCGGGGCGCGCGACAACGACCGTTGCAGCCAATTCTGCGCGGTGCGCCGCGCGCGTGCCAACTCGCGAAGGTACCCATTCAGCGACCGCCGTCCCGAGGATTGCGACGTCGTGCCACGCGCGAGCATCGTCGCGCAGGAGGTGGTCCAGACACCGACATCATAAGGAACCGAAGCGCGCCGCAAGCGAGCTACCGCGCACAATAGCCCATTCGGGGGCCCCCGCCGCAGCAGCCACTAGGGCGCGCCTGCGTGGGAACCATTTCTGGATCCGCATCCACAGAGGAATCCTGGTCGCACGGGAAAGTTCGACCGCCACGCCACGGCAATTGTTGATACAATCGCCGCGGCGATTTCCCCCGTCCTATTCTCCCTCCTCGGGTCTCTCCTCCTCTCCCTTCTGTTCATCGCTTTCGGTTCGACTGACCCGCGCGCCGTCGCCGCGCTGCTTCGGTTCGGACGAGCGGGTGTCAGAGTGAGGAGGGCGAGTGTAAGGCTGGAGCACGAGCAGGACGAGGAATAAGAAAAGGACACGGACCACGACGACGACGATGATGGTGGCGGTTGTTGCCTCGGCGATTGCGCGCGCGCCGGCGCATGCGACCCGCCGCAACTCTGGGTTCACAGAGACCACGCCAAAGATGGTTGTTGACAATTCAACCAGCGACATCCTCGCGCCCACTGGCTCCGAGATGTCGCGTGGGAGATTGTCGAGCCACTTCGGCCTGAAACTCCCCCGCGACTTTGGATTCGAGGATGCCGCGCGCGACTTTGTCCAGCCGCGCGAAAGTTGCTCTGGCCTGTTTCGCTTCAGACGCCCTTGCAACGCTTGGCTCAGAGTTGGCGCGCGCGAGTCGTCGAGCCAGCTCCGCCTGATGTATATTCGCAATTTTCCGCGCACGAGTTGGCCCAATCCGTTCAATCAAATAAATCTTCGCCATTCTGGATTCGGAGATGCTGCGCGCGAGGTTGAGATTGCCTCGCTACTCTGGGGTCAGAGATGCTGCGTGAGAGATTGTCCAGCCTGTTCAGCCTGAGACTCCCTCGCGACTTTGGATTCGGAGTTGCCGCGCGCGACTTTGTTCAGCCGCGCGAGAGTTGCTCCGGCCAGTTTCGCCTCAGACGTCCTGGCTATGCTTGGTTCGGAGCTGGCGCGCGCGAGGTGGTCGCGCCAGTTCCGCCTGATGTATACTCGCAACTTACCGCGCACGAGGTGGTCCAACCCGCTCAATCAGACACATCCGCGCCGTTCTGGATTCGGGGATGCGCGAGGTTGTCCAGTCTGTTTCGCTTGAGACCGCCTTGCGTCTCTTGGTTCAGAAATGCCGCAGGAGAGGTTGTGCCGCTAGCTTCGCCTGCGACGACGTGACAGTTGTATGCTTCGAGGAGCTGCGTGCGAAGTTTGTCCATCGGGGTTCGCCTGAGATCTCCTCGCAACTATGGGCTCCGAGATTTTGCGCACGAGATTGTCCAGGCAGTTTTGAACGAGATCTCCTCGCAATCTTGCGCTCCGATATGCTCTGACCTGAGGTGGTCTGGCCAGTTTCGCTTCAGATGTTCTCTAAAGTTTGGGCCCAATGATGCCGCGCGCGATGCTGTTTGGCGAGTGTCGCGTGAGACGTTTTCGCAGCTGTGGGCTCTGAGATGCCTTGTTGAGGTGTTTCAGGTGGTTTCTCTTGAGACATCCTCGCAATTGTGGGTTCAGAGATGCCGCGCGACAGAGATTGGCCGCCCAGCCTTATCTGAGACGTCTTCGCATTTCTCGGCTCGGATGTGCTCTGTCTCGAGGAGGTCACTGCACCCAACTATGGGCTCACAGATGCCACGTGCGTGGTTGTCCAGCAAGTCTCGCCTGATATCAGTATTGGAGGGGTTGTCAGGCTTGTCTGGGGGGTTGTCCGGGGATTTTTTTCCGATGGGATTTTTTCCCAGTGGACAAAGTAGCAGCATCGTGTTATTATGGTGCTTTGCTGGGATCATGTTTTTGTCGATCGGAACGTTCTCGGCCCTTCTTCAAGCATCCGCTGAGCGTTGGCCACATTTTAGGATTGGTGCCTTGACCCCGTCGTATCTACCGTCGTATCTGTATACTTTGTGGTGTTGATGACGAGAACGTTGAGCAATTTGCACACCCTTTCCTCCACAACCGAGGTATCGTTGGATTCTTGAACTTTATGACCTGATGTGTTTACGTTTCTTGTGGCTAAAGGGGTGGAAGGTGGGTCCTTTACAAAAGGGGGTCTGGCCTGAGTGCCAGGCCCACGGGGCTTTCGTTTGTCAAGGGGGACGTTTCCCGCAGTGGGAAGGAATCCTGGTAGGGAAATATGAGGAGAGGGACTCGGGACGGGAGGGTGTATTGCAGCATGGTTGCCGCTTCTTGGGTTTGATCCGGTCCTCCTCCCCCGCTTCTCCACTCAGTCTTCCTTCTTCTCATCTTTTTTTCTTTCCTCATTGTTTCTCCTCCTTTTTCTCTCTCCTCTCTCCTCTCACCTACTCTTCCTCTCCTCTCCTCTCCTCTCTCCTCTCTCCTCCTCCTCCTCCTCCTCCTCCTCCTTTCTCCTCCTCCTCCTTCCCTCCTTTCTCCTCATCCCTAGCCGTGTCTGCAGGTTGCTGCATCTGACTGCATCCTCGCCCTTCTCCTTCAGCCACCCCCCCATGCAGGGAGAGCGCCCGGTACGCCGCGGACGCGAAGGAGGGCGAGCACGGATCGTTGGCCTACGGCGTGTGCTGGAGGTCGTGCGGCACGGACGGCAAGGCTCAGTCCGACGCCTTGCCGTTTTCTCGGCGTCATTCCCTGTCCGTCCCTCAGGGGAGAAGGCACCCATACCGCTACTCTTCCCTCGTGTTCTCGGGCGTGGCCCGAATTTGTTTTTCGCGAGGTAAGCTGAACTGAACTGAACTCAACTGAACTGAAGTGAACTGAACTGACTGGTCGCACCCGTTACGCGACGGTTTTATTCTCGGCCGCCAAGGGCGCAACCCACGGCACAACCGATAGGAGACGGTTTTATTCTCAGCCGCCGAGGGCGCAAGCTATGGCCAAACCTTTAGGGGACGGTTTTATTCTCGGCCGCTGGGGGCGTAAGATATGACGCAACCGATAGGAGATGGTTTCATTCTCGTCCGCCGATGGCGCAACTTATGGCGCAACCGACAGGAGACGGTTTTATTCTCAGCCGCCGAGGGCGCAATTTATGGCGCAACCGATCGGATATGGTTTTATTCTCGTGTGCCGAGGGCGGAACCTATGACGCAACCGACAAGAGACGATTTTGTGATTGGTGGCCGAGGGCGCAAGCTGTAGCACAACCGGCAGGAGACGGTTCTATTCTCGGCCGCCGAGGGCGCAACCTATTGCGCAACAGATATGAGACGTTTTTATTTTCAACCGCCGAGGGCGCAGCCTATGGCGCAACCAATAAAAGATGGTGTTATTTTCGGCCGCCGACGGCGCAACTTATGGCGCAACCGACAGGAGACGGTTTTGTTCTTGGCCGCAGAAGCCGCAAGCTATGGCGCAACCGACAGGATTCGATTTCATTCAGGGCCACCGAGGGCGCAACCTACGGCGCAACCGATAGGAGACGGTTTTATTCTCGGCCGCAGAAGGCGCAACCTATGGCGCAACCGATAGGATACGGTTTTATTCGCTGCCGCCGAGGGCGCAATTTATGGCGCAGCCGATAGGAGGGTGTTTTTATTCTCGGGTGCCGTGGGTGTATCCTATGACGCAACCGATAGGAAGTGGTTCTATTCTCGGCCGCAACCGAATGGCGAACCTATGGCGCAACCGACAGTAGACGGTTCTATTCTCGGCCGCCGAGGGCGCGACCTATTGCGCAACCGAAAGGAGACGGTTTTATTCTCGGCCGCCGAGGGTGCAACCTATGGCGCAACCGATAGGAAATGGTTTCATTTTCGCCGCCTAGGGCGGAACCTATGGCGCAACCCATGGCGTAACTTAGGGCGCAACCTATGGCCTCTGCCGCCGACCCCAGAGACAGCCGCAAGCGGGCCAGTGAGGGCGTCGAGGACTGAGGTGCCAGGAGAGGGAGGATGAACAGAATGAGGAAGAGGAGAAATGAGGACGATGTCCTAGACGAGGGCGGCGAGGAGGAGCTGGAGCAGGAGGAAGACGAGACAGACGCGGAGGATGAGGACGAGGAGGATGACGACGGCGACGATCAGGATGGGGAGGAGGACGGGGAGGAATACGAGTAATCCGAGGGCGAAGTGTGGGCATTCGATTGCAAGCGGGGCTACGCTCGATTTCTGCTCGCCGTTTGGGCTGGCGGTAGGGCCCAAGCGGCCAGCTGTCTTGTGATTCCCTTTTGGGACCTCCTGGGAGGCCCTCGTCGCCACCGCTGGATTCGCCTCGAAATTCTGGCCAGAACGCATCCAGGGAGAGGTCCGGTGAGTAGCGCGGTATCGGTACCTTTTGGTTCCTCAGTCCCCCCCCCCAGCAGCAACAGTCATGGGAAGGGTTGGGTCCGATGGGTATGTCCACAGGGAGTGTGGCGGCAGAAGGGTCGCCACACGACCCAGGGGAGGCACGTGGGAGTGAGCGGCGGTGGGTGTGAGCGTATCGTCCTGCTCGGGTCCCCCTTGCCGCGGGCTCACAGCCCATGAGGGGTGCTAACCTCTCTCTCTCTCAGCGTTCCCCCTGCCGCTGACCCAGGTCTTGCCCTCGCCTCCCCCGCACCTCTCCTATATTCTCCCGCCCCTTCTGCGTCTCCCCTCCCGTCCCTGCCCCCTTCCTCGTCCCCTCCGCCCCACCTCCCCCTTCTCTACTCGCTGGCGGAGGGACCAGTGTGCGCGCGCGCGTGTGCGGAGTTGTCGACGGTCTGTGCGCGCCTCCCTGGGGTTGGGGCCACGTCTGTGCCGAGTGCCGCTTTCAGCGCGCGTGATGAAGCCGGTGTGGACGTAGCCGTAGGCACACTAGCCAGAGCCATATCAGTCATGAAGGTCCGCAGGCCCCCTCGGTCCACTGTTTGGAGACAGCACCATTTGCCAAGGACTGAGGTTTGATCACCCGGGCGGCCCTGAGGCTGAGTGTTTCTTTGCAGTGCGAATCATGGGAAGCTGACACCATTGAGCTTTCAGTGGTTTGGCAAATATCGTGGTCTGGCATCCAACCCTCCTGCTTCCTTGTTGGTCCTCTCCGATACTCCTCGCTCATTGGTTGGTCCCCCTTCCAGCCTTTCCCCCCCCTCTCCCCGGTTTTCTCATTTTTTCGCCTCGCCATATTCCTCCCTGATACCCTTCTCCGCTTTTCTGTCTCTGCTCCCGTCTCCCTCCCACGCTGTCGGAATAGGTTGCTGCACCTGTCCTCTGTCCATTTGCAAGCGCCCCTTCTTACGTATTCTTCCACCCCTGACCAGACACCCGCTCGGTGCTTCCTAGCCCCCTCGCCCCCTCGCCCGCTCTGTTGCTCTCTCGCTTTCCCCCGTCCTTCTCCTCTTCCTTCCCCCTTCCTCCTCCTCCTCCTGCCCGCCTTCCTCTCTTATCTTCCCTTTCCTTCCCTTCCCTTCTTTTTTCTTATCGTATCATACCTTATCTGTTCTTCTCTTCTCGTATATTTTCTTCTCTTCTCTTCTCTTATCTTCTCTTCTCTTATCTTCTCTTCTCTTCTCTTCTCTTCTCTTCTCTTCTCTTACCGTCCCTTCCCTTCCCTTTCCTTCCCTTCCCTCCTCTTCTCTCCTCTCCTCTCCTCTCCTCTTCTCTCTTCTCATCTTCTCTTCGCTTCTCGTATCGTATCGCCTCTTCTCTTATCCTCTCTTATGTTCCCTTCTCGTCTCTTCTCTTATCGTCCCGTCCCGTCCCGTCTCTTCCTTTCTATGTTTTTTTCTTATTTTCTCTTCTCCTCTCTTATCTTATCTTCTCGTATCGTCTCTTGTTTCGATCATCATATCTTATCATATCTTCGATTATCTACCCTTTGATGCAATTATATTCTCTCCTCTCCCCTCCTCTTGTCTTGTCTTCTCTTCTCTTCTGTTCTCTGCTCTTCTCTTCTCCTCTTCTCCCCTCTGCTCTCCTCTCCTCTGCGCTGCGCTGCTTACCAGACTTTCTTCTCTTCTCTTCTCTTCTCTTCTCTTCTCTTCTCTTCTCTTCTCCTTTCTTCTCTTTTCTTATTCTCTCTCCTCTCGTCTGCTCGACCCTTCTCTACTTGGCTATTTTTTCCGTTTTCCTCTTATACTATAGGTTCTTCGCTTATCTTACCTTACAATGTAGTACCGTATGCTTTTGTTTGAATTGATCTTCTCTTCTAATGTAATATCTTCTCTCCGTATCTCTTCTCTTCTCGTCTCTGATCATATCTGCTCTTTGTCTCCAGTCTATGCTATTGTATTATTTTCACTTGTCTTCTCGTCTCGTGTCTTCTCTTATAATATCTTATCTTCTCGTCTATGTTAGTATCTTCTTGTTTTACTGTCTGGCTTATTATATTATCATCTCTTATCTTATCTCCTCTTCTCTCCGTTCATCTCAGCTTATACTTTATATATTATCTTCTCTTCTCTTATCATCTCTCATCCTATCATCTCATTTATTCTCTTCTCTTCTCTTCCCTTTTCTTATCTTCTCTTCTCTTCTCTTCTCTTCTCTTATTGTCTCTTCACTTCTCTTCTCTTCTCTTCTCTTCTCGTCTAGTATCTTTTCGTCTCTTCTCTTCTCTTCTCTTCTCTTCTCTTCTCTTCTCTTCTCTTCTCTTCGCTTCGCTTCGCTTCGCTTCGCTTCGCTTCGCTTTGCTTTGCTTCTCTTCTTTTCGCTTCCCTTCTCTTCTCTTCTTTCCGCCCTCTGGGACGTTGGGACCAGCGCCTCCGGCAGAGGCGGGCAGTGGCGCTCGCCCCAAGTGGGGGCCACGGGCAGGGGGGCCGGGCAGCGGAGCAAGTGCCCCTGCACGTGCCCTGTTCCTGGGGGGCCCGTCGCGCAAGTTGGCGACACGATGTGGGTGGGAACCCGAAGGAATAGGGGGACGAATAATGATAGAAGCACAAGAACTCGGAGGTCCGCGCGGGTTTCTCGGATCGGCGCTGGAACCCTCCTGGCGGCGCCTCCGGCGCCGCCCCTGGCGCGCTCAGGGAGGGGGGTCTGGCGCCGATCCGAGAAACCCGCACGGACCTCCGAGTTTTTATGTTTATGCCATTGTTTGGTTCCCTGCCGAAGGAAACCGTGCCCTCTGCGTAGTGCCACCCATGTACTGGCGGACGTCACATCCCCGTCGTACGCCTTGCTCCCCTTGGCCTTCACCGGCACGCTGCCCGTGTTTCTTTCCTAGACATCCGCGCACACACGCGCGCGCGCAGGCCCCCACGCACACACCCACAACACACGCACGCGTACAGCATCACAAAACACAACACAACACAACACAGCACAGCATAGCACAGCACAGCACAGCGCACGCACACACCACACACGCACACACACGCGCACGCACACACACACACACACTCACACGCACACGCACACGCACGCGCCCACGCACACGCACACGCACTCGCACGCACACGCGCACGCGCACGCGCACGCGCACACGCACATGCGCACGCACACGCACACGCGCACGCACACGCACAGGCACACGCACAGGCACACGCACGCGCACGCGCACGCGCACGCGCACAAGCGCACGCGCACGCGCACGCGCACGCGCACGCGCACGCGCAAGCGCACGCGCGCACGCACGTGCACGCGCACACGCAAGCGCACACGCACACGCACACGTAACACGCACACGCGCACACGCAC